CAGTAAGCGTTAGGATGCCTCTCGCGATGGAAATGCCTTGCGTGAGCAAAAGAGCGACTATGTGCTCCACTATCACATCCTTATAGGAAGGCCACCCACTGGACACAGACACAAGGCAGCAGGATCTCGGTGGGAGCGTCACATCGTCGGCTGTTCGCAAACTGCCGCGTAGTTCGTCACTGCTGTCGTCGACATACGGATGTGCGCAAAACGTCACCATGCGTTGAGGGATGTTGATAACAGCGCCATGATCTCGAAGAAAATCCATACCCAAAATTAGCTCTTTACAGCAGTCTGGTAACAGGACGAAAGTGGCCACGAAGCTAGAATTCCCAATGCGAAGTCGAGCGGTGCATTTACCCGTGGGAATCATCAGCTGACCACCAGCACTCCTTATGTGTGGCCCTGTCCACGGTGTCTTGACCTTTCTAAGGCGGTCGGCGAGCTCTTGTCGCATGATTGAGAAGTCGGCGCCAGTATCGACCAGTGCTGTAACGTAATGTCCGTCAATGAAAACGCCAAGATCAGCACGTACAACTTCACCGGCATTAGTATTCGTCGTCGTATTCGTCGTGGTTGTCGTCATATCTTCTTGCGATGATAGGGGGAACTTTTCGGTGTCTCGACGATTGGCAACCTTGCCCCCGGAGGTCGCAGCAGTTAGTTTCCCCGGCGCGGGCTAGGCGAACGGCCTCTGGTGACGTCCGGGTAGCTCTGAGAGAAGTCACAGCGACGCGCAGGAGATGGAGATCGCCAGCGACGCGGTGTAGTTGCTTGGCCAGTCGACAGTTGATCAGCATTGTGGGCACGACGGTCTTCAATGCGGAAAGAAGCGGGACGAGAAAAGTTCCCGAAGCCGGAATCGCTATGACGGCAATAGCGAGCAATGTGACCTGGTTCTCCGCAGCGGAAGCAAATAGGTCGACGGTCAGCCATGCGCCACAAGTCAGTTCGGCGAACTGGTGGTCGTCTCATGGAATCCCGTTGCCACCAAGGTACGGCCGCGGGTCGTGGCTGGAAGGGTGTCGCCACAAATGACGGTGGAGGACGACGGACCACATCAGCGTAGCTCGCTGGATGTGGCTCAGGACTTGGCCCCAGTGGTGTAACGGCTTGCCTCAACTCCTGGCGGACGATTTCGGCAACAGATGCGACGGGCGGTTGGGTAGGTGGGACGCAGAGGGCCCAAAGGTCCTCACGCAGTATTTCCCTAATCATTTGTCGTAGGGAACTTTCACACACGGCAGTGTTCTGAGCTGCAGCACTTACTGCCGTGTGGTTCGGCAGGCGGTCAAAGTGTCGGTATTGTTGTCGCAGTGCGCGCTCGATGACAGTCGCCTCTCTTATGAATTCATCTACTGTTGTAGGTGGATTTCGTACGAGGCCCGCAAACACTGGTTCTTTGACAACCTGCATTAGGTGACGCACCTTCTTTGCCTCGGGCATGTCAGGGTCAGCTCGTCGAAACAGACGGATCATACCCTCTGCGTACATGGCGGCTGTTTTGTTGGGTTTTTGTGGGCGAGCCTCAATAAGTTGCTGTGCGCGATCCCGTCGGTCCGTGTTCCAAAATGTGGCAAGGAGCTGTCGACGAAAATCTTTCCGAGATTGGAAAGTAGCCTCGTGGTTCTCGTACCACGTGCGAGCGCTATCTTCCAGGGCGAAATATGCACGGCCAAGTTTGTGCTATTCGTTCCAGTGGTTAGATACAGCGACCCGTTCAAACTGTTCGAGCCAGTCCTCGACATCCTCGTACTCTTCCCCATGGAAAACTTCAGGAACGCGAGGATGTTCAAGAGTCACCTGGGAGGGAAGAGTGGTCTGCAATGGAAGGGTAGCCGTGGATGTGGTAGGAGCTGCCATGCTGGTTAGAGGCGGAACAGGTACGGACTCCGGACTTAGGCCTAGTAGGCGCCGACTGAATCGGTGCACCGGAGTCGCGACGAGAGGCCGGGTCTCTGGACTAGGTGAACGGGTCCGAGCAAGACTGTCCTGCATCCGGTTGTAGGCTCCAGCACCTCCACCAGTGTCACGACGTCAAAACAGAGGTCTTGCCGTAGAGACTGAGACACCAGAAGCAGGTCGATCTTTTTAATTAGAACGCGCAAGCGAGTTCTTCTTCTTCGTCCAATTCGTAGTCCTTCGTGGCACATGCACAACTGTCATCGTCTTTCTTGGGCAAGCACGTGACAATATCATGTGCAGTGTATTGCGAGTGCTATCCACTGGTGCATAATTTTTTTTTTTTACGAATGAGTGCTTTTGAGAGCACCAACAGGCATCCTCTATCTCGTGTGTCAGCTGATCTACAATAGGCGAGCAAGGGCAAGGGTAGCTAATTCTCTTAACTTGTCATCCGTGACAACTTTGACAAGAATATTGATTTGCTGAAATTTTTTAACTCAGGTTTTCATTATTTGCCAACTGTTACTCAATTAAAGTGCCTGTCACTGCAACCCTTTTACCTCTTTTGAAACATAATCCAAGTTTCCTTTTCAACATCATCTTGTAAATGGTGTTTTCCCAAGATACACTTGCTTACCACAACTGGAAGTTGATCCAGTTAGTCGCAAAAAGATTGGACGCGCAGGTAAGAACACAGATTCTAAACACAATATCGAGAGCAATGTTATATGCAGGGATACCTAGCACAACAGCGTGGGGTCATTTCTTTTTATTCAACGTGATGTGCTTCTCGCCAATGCATTGCCAAATATCATATTGCAGCTCAGGCTAATCGTACTGACACTGCACTTTTTGAGAGCATGTGTGGTGAGAAAGACAATGGACAGCACGGTACCAAGTACTAAGCAAGGGGTGTCCAGTGTAAATATCATTGTCTGACTGAACGAGACAAGAGGCAAAGTTGCACAATTTCAGCGGGTAATTTTATTAAACAGATGGCTATCACTGTTTTTTTTTCATGTATTGTTCAACTCTGTGAGAAACAGTGTTCTTTGTTTACATACATACTGCTGCATTCACGATTGTCAATAAACAATGTAAGCTTACTTGCTTAGCATGTTTTTTGCCAGTTGAGGCCTCTCGGTCACCTGGCGGCATAGCGGAAATATTTATAGTAATGTTAGGGCGCGTTGTGCGCGAATAAACGCTCATCAACCTGCGGGCGTACACCGCGACCCCCCGCCTCCACTACCAAAGCAGCCGCCATATTGCCCTAGCGCAATGATTATGATAGGCCTACCAGTGCCGTCTGTAGGTCGGAAAAGTTATTTCACAACGCCAACGCTACTCTTATTTTCGTTGCACTGTCAAACGTACAGTTTCCTTTCTCTAAATGGTAGTGTATAGGTGTCCAGTGCCTATACCTCACTCATTCATCCTTCTTTAGAAAACGCAGCTGTTATTTGGTGTCCCCATCATGTCACATGGCCCAACTACCTCGAAGCAGTTCCAAACAAAGCAGCAGTAATACTGCAAGATGAGCAAGTTGGTACGAATGCATACGACTGACTTACTTTTAGCCCACACTGACAAAGAGAAGGAGACAGGTGTCATTCCCTATCTTTGCCCCTGTGTGCTAAAAGTAAGTTATTATGAAAACAAAGGAGCCACGTTCATCCTATCACCTTATTCTCAATTTCATAATGTTGCAAAACTAAAAAGCTCTCTTAATATACATTCACTCGCCTTGTGCCGAACACTTGCCTGGTTATCCTTCTTTCACACCCTCTACCGTATCAGTAATCTCATATTTTGCCTATACACCACATGTCGTCTTATAGGTTAGACCATGCCTATAAAGTCAAACCATTTTTTACAGCGAAAGCTGTTATGAGGTCCGAACACAGGTAACGCACCGTGCCGTAGTTGTTCGTCACCGCCGATGTCCGTAACCAGAAAAAAAAAAAAACTGTGCAAGTAAAAAGCATTATAGACACAATGGAATTCGAATCCGGGTGCGCTGCATGCAAGCCCAGTTTTCTACCACTGAGCCACGTCAGTGCTTGGAACTAGTTTCTAAACTAGCCTTAGACAGGCTTGACATCAAGACAAGAACCGTGTTAATATGAGTAATAAAGCATTTTAGAACATCAAAGTTACACGATGCAGATTGTGTAACGAGCGGGTCATCCATTGTTTTAACCCATTCAAAAACTTGTTCTTGATCACCTATTAACTGTGGTGCATACCCACTCCAGGCTTATTTCTTCATCGTCATCAGCCACAGCATAAAAATATTGCAGAAAATTTCTAACAGATGTGTAGCAGATAGCACTTTTCTCCGAAGAATCATGAAGCCAGAAATCATTATTATTATAGTGCCGTAGTGGGTACCAGCAAGTGTGCTTGCAGCAGTTACCCAACGAGTGTTTAGAAAAGGCTCTGAAAGGCCACACTTCTAGCTTTCGCTGTGGCTGTTCTGCGCATTCTGTGCAAGCCTGGTGTTTTTTCCTCGCACTGAAAAATATTGGAATTCACTTTTTGCACTATCAATAGGTCAATGTAATTCACTGCTATCCAGCATTGCCACTATCAATGATCATCAGTTCTTTCACTTAGCGCTCCACTCATTTCTCGAGCGTTAGAACACTTCTCAATAAATAACTTCATAATATTGTTACTGCATGTCATCTTTCATTGTGCTCAATTCAGAAACTGAACAAACCTAAAAATTTTCGTGGTGTTATCATTATTAGTGAAATTTCATTGTCTTTGCATAGTAAGTTTTCCCTTTTCAATTCCTTTATGACTGAAATATGATTGCATTCTTCACTCTTTGATAATCTGCCCCTATGTAATCTTTCCAGGCCCTTAATGTATCCAAATAAATCAAACTAAGCCAAAATGTTGCACAACACTCAATGGATACCCAAGACTTCAAAACACCATGTGTACACATGGTGCACCCCTCAGCCAAATAGAAAGCTGGTTTCGGGAAGCGGTGACCCCAAAAACACCATGTGCGATGCGACATCATTCCTTATATTCGTGGTTAGCCACTAGCTACGCCCACATTAAATGCAAAGAGTACTGACCATCGATGAGGCCAGACAACATGCAGGGGTGAGGTGGGGTCCCTGTACAGAGCTGGGAACAATGGCGGCACTTTGACCGGAAAGGACAGCACTCGCGCCTTGGCCTCCAGTTGAGGCCGCAGGGGCCCCAGGTGGCCCGCACCTGGCACTCGGTTTAGGAACGGCTCCACAGCTGCCAGGAATGAGTCCCGGTTGAAGTGAGAGTTGAACAGCACCACGTCAGCCGCCAAGCTGCACAGGCAGAGATAAATTACCTCATCTGATGATATGTCCACATTTGGACCTTTGGCATGCTGTTTTATTAATAATAACAAGTCCCGAGAATGCCCCATCCATGCTTCAGCTTGAAAATTGCTATTAATCGCCAAAAAGGAACTGGAACCTTGAGGACAGCATACTGCATATCCCACAGCATTTCAGGCAGAGCTTGATCTACATACCAATAAAGAAGGGTATAAGGCAAGAGAATACAATCTCCCCAATGCTATTTACTGCACACTTAGAAGAGGTTTTCATAGCCCTAAAATGGGAAGAGTCAGGAATACAAGTTTACGGAGAATACCTTAGTAAGCTGAGCTTTTAAAATTACATTGCACTGCTAAGTAACTCGGGAGACAAATTCATTCATGATTACTGAATTAGACAAGGCGAGAAGAAAGGTTCATGATTACTGAATTAGACATGGAGAGTAGAAAGGTAGGTCTTGAAATTAATCAGCAGAAAACTAAGTAATTTACAACTTCAGAAGCGAACAGTGCTTCGAGATAGGTAGCAGTGCACTTGAAGTTGTAAAGGAGTATGTCTACTTAGGACAGTTAGTAACCGCGGAGCTGAACCACAAGACATGAAGTAACTAAAAAAATAAGAAAGGGGTAGAGCACATTCGACAAGCATTCTCGAATCAAGAAAGGTAGATTGCCACTGTCCCTTAACAGGAAGGTATATAGCAGCTGCATCTTGCCGGTACTTACCCACGAAGCAGAAACATGAAGCATATAAAACAAAGAGGATTCAATTCAAGTTGAGGATGACGCAGCAGGCAATGGAAAGTAAAATGATAGGTGTAACCTTAAGAGACAAGAAGAGAGCAGAATGTATCAGGGTAAAAACAGATGTTAAGGACATCATAGTCGAAATCAAGAAGAAATGGTCATGGGCAGGGCACATATATAGCAGGAAGGCAAGATAACTGCTGGAGATTAAGGATCGCAGACTGGATTCCAAGAGAAGGAAAGCGGGTGAAGGGGAAAAGGAAAGTAGGTGGGCAAAATATATTAAGAAGTTTGGGGGGTATAGTCTGGCAGCAGAAAGCAGAGGACCGAGTTGACTGGCAGAATATATGGGAAATAACCTTGTCCTGCAGTGGGCGTAGCCAGGCTGATGATGATGATGACCAGTCCTCAAAATTACAGTATGTATTTTGCCCAGCACCACTCAAATGTGAGCTGCTTACGAAGTAAAAGGAACTGCACGATAAGAAGCGCTGCCACTTTCGCAACCGTCAGCGGCTCATGCTGAGCCGCTGACGGTTGTGAAAGTGGCACTAGCGTAGTCGTACGGGAAACGTAGTCGATAGCGTAGTCGCACGGGAAACGCATGCGTACGCATGTGTTTTTCGTGCGACTATGCTATCGAATTTGGTGTAGACCATAAAAATTCTAATTACAAATATTTCGCACCGTTTTTAACGGTACCATTCCATCATTAAACACTCTGACCAATAAGCTCTTCGTTTAAAGAAAATAGGTACCATACAAATTGGTTGTCGGTCCCTTTAAACTTCACGCACCAAGTACACCGGTCTGTCGCAACACCGATTTCTTGTCGATTAAGAGAATATTGCGCATGCGAACACGTGATCGATGTGTTTACGCGCTCACGGGACTTCGTTCAAAAACCTTTGTAGCACACCATTCTGACCCAACGTTTCTCCCCAGACGCTATCAAATATCATTCAGCAAAGAGAGAATTCAGGAGCGGCACACAACACAAGCACGATGGATGGATGGATGTGGCTGTACCCTTTAGATCGGGTGGCGGCTAACGCCATCTAGCCGTGATACTTAGTGAACTAACCATTAGATTTATCTTTTTTTTTTCCTTTAAATAGTGAGGTTGAGGATTCGTACTTTGCAGTGAAAGGTTTAATTTCCACTCGTGCCTTGACTTTAGCCACCAGTCACATAACCTTCTTCTAGTTAAGTCTACCCGCTTAAAGTCTATTTCGCCCTCCCTGTCCCTAAACCCCAGTGCTTTGAAAAACTCTGCGCCATCATCCTGAACTATAGGGTGAAGCCCTTTACAGAACATTATCAAGTGTTCGGCAGTTTCTTCTTCCTCTCCACACGCACTGCATACTGTGTCTACCCCTTCATATTTGGCCCGATATGTCTTGGTTTGCAATACTTCCGTCCTGGCCTCAAACAGTAGAGAACTACCCTGTGTGTTATCACAGATCCTTTCCTTGGCAATTTCCTGCTTAAAAGCTTGATAGATCTCTAGTGCGGAGTTCTTAATCATGCTAATTCTCCACATGTCAGTCTCCGTTTCTTTCACTTTATTTTTAACCGATAGTTCTTTTTGGTTTGGCCACCTGCTGTTTTCTAAGTATTTACCAGTCAATTTTCTGGTTCGCTTCCTCCATGTTGTACCGACATTCTTTATGTACAAGTAGCTGAAAACCTTCATAGCCCATCGCTCCTCTCCCATTCCTCTCAATCGCTTCTCCAATTTTATCTTGCTGCTAGCTTCCCTGCCCTCAAATGATGTCCATCCCATATCACCTTGTACTCCCTAATTTGGTGTATTCCCGTGAGCTCCTAAGGCAAGCCTACCTCTTCCGCATTGCCTAATTTCTAATCTTTCTTGAACTTCTGATCTCATGCACAAGACCGCATTGCCGGACGTCAGCCCAGGAACCATGACCCCTTTCCATATTCCTCTCACAACATCATACTTCTTGTAATTCCACAGTGCCCTATTTTTCATCACTGCTGCATTCCTGTAACCTACAATCATCACGTATATTTCGTGTTCCCTTCGGTACTCGGTCCCATTGCTTATCCATACGCCCAGATATTTGTATTTATCTGTTATTTCTAGCCTGACCTCATGTATTCCAAGCTCACTACCTTCGTTATCATTAAAAATCATGACTACTGATTTTTCCCTACTGAATCTAAAATCTAACCTATCTACCTCATTACCGCAGATGTCCATCAATCTCTGCAAATCTTCCTTGTTGTCGGCCATTAGCATTATATCATCTGCGTACATTAGTGCTGGCAGTGCCTGATCAGTGAGTTTTCCTTGTTTGACTAAAGAGGGCTTGAAGCCAAGTCCACTTCCCTCTAATTTGGCTTCTAATCCTTGTAGGTACATCATGAATAACAAGGGTGACAGTGGACACCCCTGCCTAAGTCCCCGTTTCACCTCTGTGAGCTTGGATACCTGTTTTTCCCACTTTATAGCTGCCTTGTTACTTTTATAGATTTCCTTTAAAAGATTAGTGTCTCCATCTTCCACACCCAGTGTGTCTAGTACTCTCCACAAGTACTCTTGAACCACGCTATCGTACGCTCCCTTGATGTCCAAAAATGCTAGCCACAGGGGCCTGAGTTCCTTTTCTGCTATTTCGATGCACTGCGTCAGTGAGAACAGATTGTCTTCCAACCTCCTGTGTTTCCGAAACCCACCCTATAGTTCAGGATGATGGCGCAGTTTTTCAAAGCACTGGGGTTTAGGGACAGGGAGGGCAAAATAGACTTTATGCGGGTAGACTTGAGAAAGAGGTTATCCGATTGGTGGCTAAGGTCAAGGCACGAGTGAAAATTAAACTCTTCACTGCAAAGTACGAATTATCAACTTCACTATTTAATGGGGACAAAAAGATAAATCTAATGATTAGTTTACAAAGTATTACGGCTAGGCGGCGCTAGTCGCCGCCCGATCTAAAGGGAACAGCCACATCCATCCATCCATCCATATAATTATAAGGCAGCAGTTAAAATTCCTGTAGCACAGCATCTTACCACGACACCACCTGGTTGTAACCGTACTGGTAATCGCGCAGCTGTTCTTTCTGCACTGGGTAGGCTAGCTGATTCTCGTGCATGTAAAGCACCTTTCGCAGAGGCACCAGGTCTTGCCGTAGCCCCAGAAGTTCGGCGAGGTTGAGCGTGCCGCTGGCCATCAGCACACGATAGTGATCTGACGGTTCTATGCGCTCTGCAAGCCACAGAGCTGCCGTGCGCGCACGCCAGTGCCACTTGTTCGGCGGCAGCGTGACCAAGCGGCATACTCCTAGGTCCTCGCTCAGCAAATCTATCAGCTGCTTGTGCGAGCCGCCGTAGAACGGCTCTAGCAACAACACCGACATCACTAAGGTCTCACGACTTCGCGAAACAGAGCAACACACAAAAATATAGCCCACAACGCTGTAACATAACAACCGTGATTACAGTGGAAGCGTGATGAGCGGCAAGCGGCGCCAACGGAGCGCTAGAGGTGTGCGCCGACAGGTCGGCGCGCCGCTGCCGCCGACGCGAACTGATCGGCGCGCCGCCGCCGACGTTATTCATCGGCGCTATCGGCGCGCCATTTACGCACCAGTACCGAATTTTCACAGATTTGTCTTTTTCTTTTTCATCTTGATTTATAGCTTCGTTTCACATTTATGTACCCAGTAAAAAACAGGGTTCTTAGTTAACTTCATCCAGCTTTAGAGACCGAGAGTACCACTATGAACAGCGGTACAAGTTCGGCGGCCGCTGAATGAAATGACATATTGGACAAATTGACAAAAAAATAAATGTAACAGTTACAGTAATGCATAGACGCTGCCATCTGAGGCTTAAAATCAATTTTTGCTGGTTTTCTATGTCGTAATTAGCAATGATTTTGGTCATACAACGTTGAATGTATTGGCCCAGCGTGTTGATGCGTGCGAGTTCACCGTAGCACTATTCGAATATTCATATGGATGCGAAACGGCATCATAATCAGTCCAAGATGGCAGCCTATCATCGTGCCCGAAACAGGGCGTATACACAGAAGAAATGAAATGGTAGCAGTGGAGCACGAATGCAGCGCGTTAGGTGAAGAACTATACAAAGCCCCGAAAGATGAAATTGAAAGGGAAAAGTTTAATGGATATTAGAAGCGTCGAGGCATAATACATGCTCGAACCTACTCAGGGTATATCATCACCTGTCCGTGGTGTTCAAATTGATAATTTTCGAGGATGACCACTCATACGCAACGTCTCAACATGCTGCAGAAAATATTTGATGCCTTTTAATTCAGGCATCAGATATCCGGGATGAAGATGCCAAGGCAGTAAGATGGCAAGAGAGAGAAAGGAAGGCTGGGGGATTAACCAGATCTTGGCATCCGGCGTGCTGCCCCACACTGGGGGTGGAGAAATAGGGGCAAAAAAGGGGGTGTAGAAAGACAGAAAAGAAAACACATGTGCACTCAGGAGTAGGATGGCAAACTTAACAGAGGATTTATTACATTCTGTACAGACAGGATCAGAGATCTCTTGCGAATGAGCTGGGTGGCTCATTATAAAGTGTGCGTTTTGACAAAATCAGGGAATGGGTCCAGAATGCGCTGTTGAATCACGGGGGACACACACCATTTTTGACGGTGCCGTTCACACTCGCTCAAGTCAACGTCTTTGATTGGGGCATGGACACCACACTGCACATATGTGGCACCAAGAAACCATTGTGATCGTCTCGTCGAACGTATTATGTTGTCGGAATGCCACCTCACTTCCCGGCTAAGATGGACGATACACGGCGGACAGCAGACTGGCAGCCCTTCGGTGACTTGTTTGACGAACAAAGAACGCCGCTCTCCCCCGTCGGCCCAGGCGCCGCGTGTAACAACGCTATGTAAGTGGTAAGCAGAGGCGTAATAAGCTTGTCTGAGGCCACCAGTTTTAAAAATGAACAAAATAAAACAACAAAAACTTGCCTGGAAAAAGTATACAAGAGACGGCTGGATTCGTCAATAATGCGGAGACAGACACTCTAGCGACATGTCATACATGACGTAGTCCAGCAAACATGTTTTCATCACGTAACTTGAACGGACCTACTGGCACTGTGAAAGATGAATAATAATTGTTGTGGACAGCGGTGATGTACTTCTTTTGCGAAGGTAATGCTCATAATTAACCAAATAAATCTTGACTTTATATTCAGGTCTTGATGAAAAAGTTAGTCAAGTTAGAAAGCTCCTCAGGTGGCTAAGTAATAAATTACTTCACCATACTTTATGTTGAAGTAATTTGCAAATAAATAATGCAACCTCTGTTTAATTGATATTCAATGACGTGACTGCAATCAACGGTGTGTCGTCGCTATAAAACTGGAACGTTATCTCCGGACACAACCGGGCGAATGCAGCGGAGAACGATTATGTCACGTAATAAAAGCAATGTGATGTCGCACATATTCACCTGTACAACTCCGTGCCCTTTTGCTTGCTCGTGATGTATTCGAAGGAGCTAGCCAAGTCTCGGGTAGAAGTCGAGCAGAGTAGCCGGGGCTGATAAGAGGAACGTTTATATACACTATTTACACACTAAAGGTAGCTATATGTTGATGGTAGCATCATGGAAGCGTGATGGGAGCTTCTCAGGGTGGTTCAGAGCGTCTCGGTGCTCACACTTTACGCCCTGGTATTCCTAAAATTATCTGCAGGAGAAAACAGTGGACAGTTTGCAATAATCTGCTAGGCAGCTTTTCTGTAAGGTTAGTTTTTCAACCAAGAACTCACGTTCACAGGCTGCTTTTCTCGCTCATTTCGTTTTTGCCATTTCTTTTTTTTTTTTTGAGATCTTGTTGTGCTCGCGTGCCTTCGCTGGAATTTAGAAAGGTGACATTTTGTTCTACTCGCGTGCTCAAAATGAGAAATAAAAGCAGTCTGTGAACGAAAGTTTTTGGTTGAAAAACAAACCTTACAGGAAAGCCGCCTTGCAGATCACTGTAAACTGACAGACTGCATGTCAATTCAGTTCAGGGCAGTCCGAACAAATTGTCGTCTTCATCTTTATCCGCCAAATGGGGGGGGGGGGGGGTAGCGGTTATAAGAAGGTGCCTAATTTCTGCAGCCCAGCAGGGAGCGCAGGGAGCAGCGAATAAGGATTAAAAAAACGAGAGAGGGAGAAAGAGAGAGAAAGTCAAACACTGCCTTCTTTTCAACCAAGGAAAGAGAGAAGGGGCACGTTCAGTTTGTCACACGGCGAGAGAGAAACATAACGTAGGTCACAGTGAAATAACATTGCATCATATGCGCAGAATAGGGTCTGCAGCGCTAGGCAGGCTAGGGCTTATGAGAATGGAAGACTTGCAAGCACCACAGAGTGTGGGAAACATACCTGACGAGGCATCCCAAGCTTTCGGCTAATTGTTCAGCGCGTCTCTTGGCACGTCGATCAAAACAAGCAGCCTCGATTTCAAACAGCTCTTCCTAGGCCGTCAGTCAGTCAGGCGTGTCCAAAGAGTTTTTGACGAGGGGAGCCAACAGCCCTAAAGAATTCGAAGTATGACTTTCGTGTTGTCGCCTCTTTTGGCGCACCTCGAGAGCGTTGACCCGGAACAAATCAGGGTAGGCTTAGCTGCAATCGTCCCCCGCGTCCAAGCGGCGCCGAGCCAGGGAGGCTGATCTTGACATCTTCTACAGACACACGCACACAAGCACGCACAGTTTCATTCCGGGAGGGAATTGGTAGTGGTCACAATGACGTACGTAACGTACATCTGCTATAAAAAGGCGTGCAGTGTATGCGATGGCTTTTTTTGAAAGTCTTGTAATTCTAGTATATTTTCATTATATAGCCGAGGTATGAGGCGGTTGTTACTCGCATATATTTGAGTTAAAGTACTACAAATATTTATTCGCCGCGCATAACTTCTGGAAATGATACTCCAAAGAAAAAAAAAAGGAAATCGCTCCAATATTTTTAAAACTAAGTTCGCACGTGAGAGTACTTGTTCTCTGTCTGCGCTTTTCCGTGGTTCACGAGTGTTAAGCCCCACTGCTGCTTCTATAGAATGGTGTACAATAAGCCATATCAACGCAGTGACAGGATTTCGTACAGACCACCAAGCATTCGATCACCAGGCATTTTCCCTCCGGCATATTTTGATTGAAAGAAGCGACATATTTTTGCTGAAAACCCGGTTTATGCACTGGGGCCCGGTGCACAGATGTTCGAAATTGCAACTCTTGATCATCGCGAGCGCGAAGACGGCAAGTAAAAGCCTCTATGCTATTGTCTGTATGTACAGTGTAACGAAACCCTCCAGTCTTGAGGGTGTTGGGTTAAACAATGCACTTTGCCCATTGCTATCGTTCATCATGGCGTTTGTCTATTAACTGAGTGGGGCTATGTGGAGCACGCGGCAGTAGTGCCGATGTGCTATTTGGTGCTGGTACAAAAAGAAAACTACTTTGGATCGCTTCTTCAATGAGTCCTTCAATTAAACCTATGCTAAGGGGCTGCATAGAAGACTATACGCCTGACACACTTGGAAAAATAAAGCACATTGTAAGAGACCCCTTCTACTAATCCCTACTACTACTAAGGGGGAATCTACAAGACTTGCGCACTGCTCCACTATTCATTAAACATTCCATACTCAGAATTGATCAATTATATCATTTTAAATTACTTCAGTTAATACAAAAGACTAAGCTATATGAAGAAAGTTGCACCGAAAGACCACACTACAGTATGCGAGAACAAAAGAAACGAGCTCCTAGAACAAGAACCAAGTATGGAAAACAAAGTATTGCTTACCAGGTACCTCAGGTTTTAAATACCCTTGCAGATCAATTGAACTTTAGGGCTAGTAGTGCGACTTTCAAGAAACAAATAAAGAACTTATTCATAACCACCGGTCTACACTACCGAAACTACGTAATGGAGTCTCGTGCCTCTGCAAATGCTTAAATTGTTCATCAACTTCTATGTCAATTATACGAGTGTATACAGCGGAATTCATTGTATCCGCATGCATTTTGTGTCTGTTTTCGATGTTGTTTCATTGATATTGTTTTGTTGTGAACTATAACGAGAGTGACCTCTAATTCTTAAAATGTGTTATGTAAACTTCTTATGCTATTTATGTTTGAATTTTGTGTTTACAATTTCAGGTTGCTTGAAACCAATGTATTGAATATATATATTGTTTAAGCTTTGCACTGTCACGAACTGCGGAGGGACAAGGGCCTTTGTCAGGCTGTTCGCCTTTAGCCCTTTGCCCCTGCAGTGAGTGAGCTCTGTATCCGGCTTACTGTAAATAAAAATCCTACTACTACTACTACTACTAATTGAAGGACTTGTAGACCATCACCATCTAGACTTTGGTGTTCTGCAGAAAACCCGGTTTATGCACTGGGGCCCGGTGCACAGATGTTCGAAATTGCAACTCTTGATCATCGCGAGCGCGAAGACGGCAAGTGAAAGCCTC